TTTCTTTCTTTCTTTCTTTCTTTCTTTCTTTCTTTCTTTCTTTCTTTCCTTTCTTTCCTTTCTTTCCTTTCTTTCCTTTCTTTCCTTTCTTTCCTTTCTTAGATTGGACCCAGAGGTGCTTAATCACTGAGCCACATCCCCAGGCCCATTTTTTATATTTTATTCAGAGACAGGGTCTCCCTGAGTTGTTAAGTGGTTTACTAAGTTGCTGAGGCTGGCTTTGAACTTCTGATCTGCCTCATCCTCCTAAGCTTTGGATTACAGGCATGTGCTACTGTGCCCAGCAGTCTTTCTTTTAATAGGGGACTGCTACTTCTGAATGTTTTCATATTTTCTTAGTCTAGAAATGTATTTATTTCATCTTCCCCAGTGGAGAATATCTTCACTGAATATAGAATTCTAGGCAGCACTAATTTTTTTCACCATTCTGAAGACATCCTTCTTCTGACTTCTATTGTTTCTTTTGAGAATTCAGTTGTCAGTCTTACTTTGTTCCTTTGAAAGTTATTATATCCCCTTTCCCCTCCTCTAACTGCTTTTAAGATTTCTCTTTGTTTTTGACTTTCAACAGTTTCACCAGTGATTTGTCTCAATACAATTGTAGGGTGCTTTTTGTATCATGGTTTGATATTTTCATCAGTTTTGGATATTTTCTGCGACTGCCTCTTCAAAAATGCTGCCTGTTCTTGGTTTTCTTCTTCTTCTCTTTCTAGGATTCCAATGCATGTATCTCAGATCTTTTCATTGTGTCCTCCCAGTGTGTCTTACATTCTCTTTTTATTTATTAAAAATAATATTAAAATATTACGTTATTTTTATTTTTTATTTTCCCACCTCTTTGTCTTCTGATCCAGTTTCCAGTTTATTTTTCCTTTTTCATCTTTAAACTTATAATTTGCTGTTAAACCCTTTCAGTGTATTCTTTTTTTAAAAAAGAAATTTTTTTGTAGTTGTAGATGGCACAATATCTTTGTTTTATTTATTTATTTATATGGTGCTGAGGATGGAACCCAGTTCCTCACACATTCGAGGTAAGTGCTCAACCACTGAGCTACAACCCCAGTCCCCTTTCAGTGTATTCTTAATTTTAGTTATTATAATCCTTAGCTCTAAGATTTTCATTCAATTTAGTTTTAAATTTCTAGTTCTCTCCTGAAAGTCCTGTCATTTAATTTATTGAGTACATCAATTGTCATGTTTCCTGACTTCAGGAACTGATGTTTTATAGATTTGGCTGTATTTTTTCCCCTCGGGTCAGATCTTGGCTTTATGTAGACCTTGGTTTTTTGATTGTTTGCTAGATATTACTTGAGCGTGGGGAATAACATTATTTTCTTCTAGAGATTTATTTCTGCTCTTGATTGGCAGCTCATCCTTGGACAAATCACCTCGTTCCAATCAGACATTGGAATCTGGGCTTTATTCTTTGTGAGGACTGATCTATTTTCATTCACCCCTATCGGTAGGATATGACCCTTCTGGATCCTCGCCAACAAAAACTAGTGTTTTTAAAATCAGTTTGTGTGTATGTGTGTGTGTGTATACATATTTTTTTTTCCACCTCAAGTCAGATCTTGGTTTTATGTAGACCCAGTTTTTTTTATTGTTTACTAGATATCCCTCTCTCTTTCTTTAATTCTTTCTTTTTTTCTTCTTCTTTCTTTTTTTAACCTTTGAGCAATGCAGCACAGCTACCTAAAGTGTTGATCAACTTGGGGCATTGTTGAAAGTGGGTATCTTCTTCTCTAGGTGTTTGCTATTCCTTCCTACCTTTAAATAAAATCTAGAATATGTGGCAAGTTTTTAAATATGCAAAATTCAAGTTAGTGGCCTCCTCATAGCATGAACTACACCTTTATGTTCCCATATTTCACATAAAAAGACTGTGTTAAAACTCTAGAGCAATATCAGTTTAGAGAATTTCTGGAATTTTTTAATTTTTATTTTAAATAAACAGATTTTTWAAATATTTTATTTAAAATAAACAGATTTTAAAAATCAGATTTAGAAAAACAAGATCTACCCCAAGCTTTGTTCTGTATTGTAATACAATTATTGTGCATCTCATGGGTACCCCCTTTCCACATTTTAATGAGTCCTGTTGAGAGGAAACTAAAGAATTTGCTCATTCCATGCTTCAAATAAATTTCAAATCATTTACCTATATTTCAGTAATACAATTTGGACAGARTTCTCTTGTTGAGAGATTGTTTCAGAGGTTAGCAGATAGATTCTGTTTCTTTTCAGATTGCGTTGTATCTTCATAATTCTTTCTTTGGTGTGCATTTGCAGAGGGAGCTCGTGAAGAAGACCTAGATGCTGTGGAAGCGCAGATTGGTTGCAAGCTTCCTGATGACTATCGGTGCTCATACCGAATCCACAATGGGCAGAAGTTAGTGGTTCCTGGGTAAGGTGTTCAATGTTATGGTTRTTTTAGTGATGTAAGTTACTTTCTAGAATGAAAGTAAATAAATTGTATTTCTAGTTACCCTTAACAGTKAAAGCATATATAAGAATTTCTTCTTCCTCCTTACAGCAGTCATTATATAAAATCTATAACTTGAATTTAAGTTTATCAAAATAAATACATCTCATAAAGATACCATTTCAGGGGCGCTGAGTTCGATCCTCAGCACCACATAAAAATAAAATAAAGATGTGTGTCCACCGAAAACTAAAAATAAATATTAAAAAAATTTCTCTCTCTCTCTCTCTTAAAAAAAAAGTGAAGTCTGGTGAAGGAAGAGGGAAATGAGTAAGAGGGGAGAGGGCTTAAGTATAATTGTGAATATGTTGTAATTAAACTGTTAAGAACTCTTGACATGTTCATCCTGCTATAGGCCAGGTAGATTGTTTGGAGAGTTTGATATGGATTCTATCTAGTCTACATGTTAAAAAAAAAAGTGATAATTTGGGTCTGCGGATGTAATTTAATGGTAGAATGCTTGCCCAGGCATGCCTGACCCTGGGTTTAATCACAGTACCAGAAAATTCTTAAAAAAAGAAAAGAGTTTTATCTTTTTCAAGTGCAACATATAATTGAATGGCCTATTTAAGACTTCTAAAAAGATGAATCACATTAGGAACCATCAGGTAACYCTTTACCTATATTATTGTCCACATATATGAAGCAAGATTGATTTCTTTTACCTTGCAGATTTCAAGTTTGTGAAATTTGGGACATAGCTGAGGCCAGTCTATCTGATTTACAATGTTTAGCCTGATTATACTGTCTGGTTTTATGGAGTAAACTAAAGGATGTATCAAGATAAAGTTATCAGAGAATTTATCCCTTTAAAAATTAAATTAACCATACATATAGCAAAACACTGGCAAATGAATAGATCATGGCAAGATGGATTCTTTAAAGAAATAAAATTACATTTCTTTTTTCTTTAAGCTGACATTTAGACAATTTAGACATTTAATTTAAATCAGAACCTTCTGTCTGATCAAAAAGAGTTTGAATATGTAGAACTGTAGTGTTTTGGTTTTCCCTGTTTAGAATTATGCTAATCAGTACTTATAAAGTCATCAGTATGAAATTACTCATCAAAAATATGAAGCACAGCTATTTGTTTGACACTGTGAGTTTTTTCATTTCATTTTCATCTCCTCAGGTTGTTGGGAAGTATGGCGCTGTCTAATCACTATCGTTCTGAAGATTTGTTAGATGTCGATACGGCTGCCGGAGGATTCCAGCAGAGGCAGGGGCTGAAATACTGTCTCCCTTTAACTTTTTGCATACATACTGGTTTGAGTCAGTACATAGCAGTGGAAGCTGCGGAGGGCCGAAACAAAAAYGAAGTTTTCTACCAATGTCCAGTAAGTAGAAAGTGTTAATGTGTTTTTTGGGATACATACTAATAAACATACAAAGGTGTGTTTTAGATGTTATCAGGGTTGTAGAAGAGATACAGAGCATTGTGCATTTTAGAGAGCTGATATTCTGACATAATGGAATGGAATGCCAAAAGAAAATTTTACCATGGGCAAACATTGCATGCTATTGTATATATAGACCGAAAGCTGTGATTTGTGTTAAGACATTTTAAGTTTAAGAGAAAGTAATGAGGAACTTCTTGTTGAAGTAATTAATTGTAACATATGCTTCTGATTTTTAATAAATTTAGCTTTAGAACATCCTAGAATTGTTCAGATCTCTTGACTCTGAAACCAAAAGCCCTTTCTTCTAGGCTAACAAGCCATATATCTTATAACCTCAGCTTCCTAATTATGTTCTTGAAAGAGAATTTCCTAAGTTCACTGGAACAATATTAGCACTACCTAAGTTTATTTTATTGAGAAGTGTCCTGCATTCTTCCAAGGACTTTATAGAAAGAGCCTAAAGTATAAGAACTGGAACTAAAAGTGTGAGAAATATCTGAATGTTGGTTAGAACACTAATTTTTATTATTATCTGTTTTGCCTTGTTCCAAGAAAAGATCCAGGTAATGAAATAAATGTATTTATATCAATTACATTCTTTTTCTCATTTAGGACCAAATGGCTCGGAACCCAGCTGCTATTGACATGTTTATCATAGGTAGGAGAAGAAAAATGTCATTTTTTCCCTTTCTTCCTCCCAGTTTAAAAAAAAAAAATGAGTTGGTAAAACCTTTACAGTTATGAGCAGCTGGCAGTTTTATACTTGGATGTTTTAGGGCTTCTTGGTTTATAAAGTACTACATGTCAGCTATCATTGGGAAAAAAAATATTGTGCCCTATGTGATCTTGTGCTCTTGATGCTCTTATAGATCAGTGAGATACATGGCATTGCTGTATGTGTAGTTTCCTTAACACATACATACATCTTCCATTGATCATATTAATATATAATTGGAGATAGAGTTATATAAAGTGACTTTATACTTTTTCTCTTTTGGTGCTAGTGGTGTAGTAAGATAATGATAAATCACAATAGAGACCTCAAGAAGCAGCAGTCTTCAAGACCAGTATGAATTATGTGCTTCAGAAACTCCTTGGCACAACTAGTTTTTCTTGGCCATAAAAGGGTKTTTCTTACAGTTTCTCTTTGGTACTGGAGATTGAACCCAGTGGCCTTTACCACTGAACTACATCCCTTTTTCATTTTTTATTTTGAGATAGGGTCTTGCTAAGTTATACAGTATAATCTTGAACTTGCCATCCTCCTGCTTGAGCCCAGTAGCTAGCATTATAGGTGTGTGCCATCATGCATGGTTTTTAAGAACCTTTCAGTTGGTATGCAAGTGCAGCTTACCCTTTTATTCTTCATCCAGTCTTATCAGGTTTACCTTATATCTATCTAACAGAAGCTTYCTGACTGTCCTGATTTTTAAAGGCATTGCTGGCACATTAAACATCCCAACATATTAATAGTAAAGAGGGGTTCTGGGAGGGTAACTCAGTGGTAGAGAATGTGGTTAACATATGCAAGGCTCTGGGTTCAATCACCAGCAAAAAAAAAAAAAAAAAAAAGGCCTTGCTGGTTAAGTTGTCTGTATTTAGTATTTAATTATATCTTCTAATTGAACTCTTAAGCAGAAAATTAGTGTCCTCTTGTTCCATTCTGTGACATAGCCCAGGTTTCTTTATAATATCAAGAAGATCTCACCAGGCGTGGTGGCACATTACCTGTAATCTCAGTGGCTCTGGAGGCTGAGCAGGAGGATCACTAGTTCAAAGCCWGATTCAGCAAAAGCAAAGTGCTAAGCAACTCAATGAGACTCTGTCTCTAAATAAAATACAAAATAGGCTGGGGATATGGCTCAGTGGTCTCTAGTACTGCCTCCCCCCCCCCAAAAAAAAAAAAAAGAAAGCCTTACCTAGTAAGTTGTAAAAAGCTTTTAAATTTAGGCCCTAGCTTTCAAGTCACTCTGACTTATGTGGTCTCTGGTTTTAAGTTAAGCACCTTCTGGAGATTGTGCACATGCTGGTTGTCCCCGCCCCCCACCCCTGGCATCTTTGCATGACACACCTTCAGAGATGACCATCACAGCTTTAGCTCAGTAGTGCTACTCAGTTCATGAACTAGAGGCTGCTGGAACAATAAGGTAAGCTGCTGGTGGCTCTGAGTTTCTTACTTAGTTTGGTGTTCATCTGATACAGTACAGAAGAAACYATTGCAACAGAGTACTAATAGTCTGATAATGCTATCATAGAAGCTGGGATTTCTCCTAGAATGGGAGAGCAAGGAAAGAGATGTGAGATCCCTGAGGAGAGAGGAAGTGGGAAGTCAGTGCTGGGGGAAGAGCAGCTTCCTTTTATTATCTTCGCAAAACCCACTACTACCAAAGAAACTCACACATGGGCTTAGTTTAGAAGGTAAATTACTTGAGAACATGTAAATTGCATCTGAATTCAATTAGGTTTCAGTTTCATGGGATGATAGCTCTAGGCATTCAGTGCTCTATTAATACATACTTAAGATGAGCTTAATAGTGAATGCTGCCTACTCTGTTCTTACCTTAAAGAACATATATTGGTTTGTTTTGTAATAAGTTAAAGTACACTTAAGTATATCATGCCAATTTCCTTTTTATGCAAACCATAAAAAACTCATTTCTTATGTGACATTTCATGAGGTACACAAAATGATTTTTAAAACTCTTCGGTGAAATTACTAGTTCTAAAAACGTAAACTTGAGTAAAAATACATTAAAATATGTAAAGTAAGATATCTAGTAGGAGATGAAAAGAGGTACATGCAAGGAATAAAAAATAAAATGTAAAATTATACCTTCTATGATTTTTTTTCCTCTTTTGTTGTACCTGGGGATCAAACCCAGAGTCTTTTGTGAATTTTAACGATATTATTCATATACCTCCCTAATATCTTATTCAAAATGGATGGCTGGGGCTGGGGATGTGGCTCAGTGGTAGTGCGCTCGCCTAGCATGCRTGAGGCACTGGGTTCAATTCTCAGCACCATATTAAAAAAAATAAAAGAAAGATATTGTGTCCACCTAAAACTAAAAAATAAATATTAAAAAATGTATGGCTGATCAGYGATCTTTGGACAAAATAGCATTTAATAAATAATGGGTCAAGTCAGATGGGCCATTAGGAGACATTGAGAAAAAAGCCAACTATTATAGTTTTCCTTCTCTTAGTGCCTTTAAAATTTGAAAGCTTTGTATTCTCAGATTTAAGCTAAATTGTATCTTCTATCATACCCTAAATAAGATAATAAGAACTATACATTTAGCATTTAACATTCAGTTTGGTGGATGCAGAACTGAGTTAATCGAAACCAGATTACAAAGAAATTGATTGAACACATTAAGGGATTAATATGTGTTAGGTATTGAGCTGTATTAATAGTAAATCACAGGGTCTGATGGAGCTATGTTGTATTACCTAGTTATATAAATATAACTCATCTAAATACTTGTCATTGATCCTGTTACTACATTCTGGACTCAGCTGTTCCCATAATTCTTTTCTGCTTCAAGCTGGTCACTGAGAATATAAAGGTCACTGAGCGACTGAATATGTAGTAGTATGCAACTAGACCACTTTGGGATTGGCCTGATGCCCAGAACTCTACAATGCCATGTCCTTGGTAGATGACCAGACTAAGCCTGGCTTGTGCCAGAATTTTGAATGTGAGTCAGGATGTAACTGAACCAGTATGTATACTGTTCATCTGCGAATAGTTACTGGTATTTTTCTTATAGATTCTTCCTAGACATTGCTGTATCTCCTTTGTCTTATGTGTTTTAGAAATTATACGAAGGTTTTTCATTATTGTACCAGAAAGTGTTATCAAGTACATTTAAAAAATARTTTGAAGATAGCTGTGGGATTCCCAAACAAAAATTGGGAGGAAGGAGAGGAAGAGAATTCTAAGGAAATAATGTAGATAGAATAGAGAATAGATATCTCTAAATAGTTCCAGTTTTAGTATCACACCTTAAGCAAAGAGAAATTATAATTATTTGTTTCTTGTGTAGATTTTGCAAAAATGATTTGTCCTTTTTTTTTTTCTTTTCTCATTTTTCTCCCTTTCTGGCTTATAGGTGCTACTTTTACTGACTGGTTTACCTCTTATGTCAACAATGTTGTATCAGGTGGCTTCCCCATCATCAGAGACCAAATTTTCAGGTATTTCATTTGGGGCTTTTTGGATAGAAATGATTAAAATTCAGAAAAAGCCATTTATCTCAGATCATGAGATGAAGTTTCCCCAAGAAGGTTAATAACAGAACCTCTCATTATCTTGAATCTTACTATTTTATTCTTAACTTCAAAGCCAAAACATTTAAATACTTAATCAGTTAGGATTTTTCTTATCTTGGAACATGCAGACAGAAAACTGACTTTAATTTAGAAGCTGTGAATCAATATTAGGTATATAGTTTCTCTGGGGGAAAAAAAAGACTCTTTGCCAATGAATAGATTTATTATGAAAGGCAAGACAGCAACTCCTGGCAAATATTTTTTATTATTTCTAACTGGAGCATTTAAGTGTTATAGTTAGTATTAGAGGTGATACTGGTTCATAGTAGCTTTTGTGGCAGAAACAAATATTAATTACTTATTAGATGCCTATGGTATAGGGACAGGAACAGTAGTTTAATTATACATTAGAGGCTCACAGTACATACTTATATATATTTTTTATACATTTTTTTTCTTGTCAGAGCCATCATTTAGCATATGTAGCTGGATTTCAGATATTTCCAAAATTTTCTTTTTATTTTAGTTTCCAAAATAATTACCAAATGCAATCCATTATTTGAACCACTGGTCATTGTCCTTGATTGCTGTCATTACTAAGCCAGAGTTTAATATGTTTCTAATTTTGTTTTAAATTTAATGATTTCAATTTAAATTTTCATCCTAAAGTATAAGCAATTGTGCATTGTATCTTTTTAAACCTTTTGTGGAATTGAAATTGTTTTTAACATATTTAATTTTTAAAATTTTCTAGATATGTTCACGATCCGGAGTGCGTGGCAACAACTGGGGATATAACAGTGTCAGTTTCCACATCATTTCTGCCAGAACTCAGCTCTGTCCACCCACCCCACTATTTCTTTACATACCGCATCAGGTGAGAATTTTAAATGGGGCTGCCTTTCAGTTCATGGTGGAATATATCCAATAAGTGGGTTGCTCTTGCCCCATTTGATGTGATATATAAAAGGCTTTGTACATCGGGTCTGGTGTATGCTAGACAAGCTCTCTACTACTGAGCTACATCCCTAGCCCTAAAATGCATTTTGAAAGATAATTTCTTGCTGAAATTTGGAGAAAGGTAGATACATAGAGTTTTTGTAATGGACTTTGACTTTATTATTAACCTCTAAGTTATTTAAATTATTTCTTGGCCATATACTGGGTATAAAGTATTGTGCTAGGTACTGTGATTATAACTGAGTTATAATCATCAAAGCTCTATATTAGAATTGTAATGAACTCTAGAAGCTGTCAGTTGCCAAACATAAAACCTTGCATTTTAAGTTTCATCTCTCTTGTCTATATTCAATTGAAAAAATCTAATAAATATTTCCTGAGTGCTGTATGTAGGTTATACATGTTATTGTGGATTTGATTAAAAGCAAATCTTTAAAACTTACTTTTGTTAGAAGTATTCTGTTATGACAGTCTCCAAGGGAGTAAGGATACTTTATTTTAAAATACATTTTTATATATTTTATACATTAAATGTATATTTTATATGTATAAAATATGTATGTTTCCATAGAAAAATATTTATGGATATTTATATTCTAATATAAGATGCGTATTTTATAAAGGAAATATTTAATTTGAATATTTACAATATATAAAATATATTACATATGTTAAATATATATTTCATTTTAATATATCTATAGAAAATATTAAGCTGTTTATTTCATATATAAAATGTAAAATTTTTAAATGTATTTTTTTAAATATTATTTTTTAGTTGTAGTTAGACACAATACCTTTATTTTAATGTGGTTCTGAGGATTGAACCCAGGGCCTTACACGTGCTAGGCGAGTGCTCTACTGCTGAGCTACAACCCTAGCCCCTAAAATATATTTTTTATAYACTTTAGTATATAAAATGCATGTAAACTGGGCACTGTGGTGCATGCCTGTAATCCCAGCGATTCTGGATGCTGATGCAGGAGGATCACAAGTTAGAGGTTAGCCTCAACAACTTAGTGAGCCCCTAAGCAACTTAGTGAGACCCTTTCTCAAAATAAAAAAAAAATAAAAATGACTGGGGATGTGGCCCAATGGTTAAGCACCCCTGAGATCAGTTCAATCCCCAGGCTGCCTTCCCACCCTGTCCCTGCCAAAAAAAGGGCTTCTATACATACTTCAGGTATTTTAATAATATATACCCATGAGAAAGCATCCTGGGATTTTGGTATTACATGTAGCCTTTAAAATGTTCAAATATAGGTATAGGTGGTTTTTGTTTTATTTAATTGAGATCCTTGTAGGATTAAGAAACACTTAAAATATGTACTTATAGGGCACTCAAAGTGAAAATAAAAGATAGCAGATTCCTAGAGAAAGAGGGAGATGATAATATGAAGAAACAGAAGTGAAGTTTAATTCTGGTAACTGTTGACATTTTGCTTTGAGGTTTTTAGAAGCTGATGGAAATGAAACAAAACTGGGAAAGAAATACCTTCACTTCTTTGGATATTTTTTAATGGCAATATACTCTAGAAAGCATTTGCTGAATAGATCTTTATTTGAACAGCAAGAGAGACTTCTTGCCATTGTATTTCTTTRTATTTATGTTGCCCTTTGTAAAGTTGATCCTCACTGAAAGTTAAGTGCATAAATTGAGTGAAAGCATTTCTTGTGGGGGAACTAAACAATTTAAGCCAATATCTCTGAGAACTTAGAGAAACTTAGAAAAACTTAGAACTTAGATAATATTTGACTTTTGTTTGGGTTTCCTAGTTTCCTTTGGAAATTTTCTTTCATGTATTAACTCTTAATACTGTAGCTCTTAAACAAAAGAAAACACACAAATTTCAGATTTGTATCTTTTATCATTTTTCTCCAGGATTGAAATGTCAAAGGATGCACTTCCTGAGAAAGCATGCCAGTTGGACAGTCGCTATTGGAGAATAACAAATGCCAAGGGTGATGTAGAAGAAGTTCAAGGACCTGGAGTAGTTGGTATGTAACTGAAGTTTTAGGTTTACACATCAGTTTATTCAAAGGAATTTTAGACTTTGCCTCCATAAATGTGTTGTATAGATGTTGTTATCAGTTAACTTTTCTAAGGTTAGGGGTGTAGCTCAGTGGTGTAGTGCTTGCCCAGCAGGTGTGAGGTCCTGGGTTCAATCCCTAGCAAAACAAACACACGCGCACACGCGCACACACACACACACACACACACACACAGTTAACTTTTCTAAAATTATACCAAACTCCATTGTTCAGGCATTGATTTCTCTTCCTGAGGCTCATTTGGGGTTAATATTCTTGCTTTCATTGTTCTTTTTTAAAAACTGATTATTCATTATTATATTTTGTGAGTTAAGATGGCATAAACAGAGAAAATAGATTTCATGTTGGTAATCTGTTTGAAGTTTGGAGGGAGATGTTGAAATTAATAGCACAGATGTTTTAATTATTTGAATTTTCTTCACTTTAGTTCTGCTTACTATTGACATTCAACTTTTTAAAAAATTATGATGGGGGCTAAAGATGTAGCTCAGTGGTAGAGTGCCTGCCTAGTATGTCCAAGGCTCTGGGTTTAATTCCTAGCACCACTAAATAAATAAATTTTTAAAAAATTTAAAAATTAAGATTATCCTAAGTTTCTGAACCATCAGAATATTTAGGATTCAATATGTGCTTTAGGAAAATAGTGTCTAAGCTGTATACTCTTATTATTAGTCCTGCATGTACATAGCATTCAGTTTAACGTTTTCTAATTCATTGCTGTGAATAAATATTCTCCATTTGTTTATCTTTTGCAATAATGAGGATTGAATCCAGGGGCACTATACCATTGAGTTACACCTCCTGCCCTCTTTCTTTCTTTCTTTCTTCTTTCTTATTTATTTATTTTGTGAGACAGTCTTGATAAGTTGGCCAGGCTGGTTTCAAACTTATGGCCTTCTGCTCCAGCCTTCCGAATTGCTGGGATTACAGGTATCTGCCACTGTACCCACCTCTTCCTGTTTATACAGTGAATTTTTCTTTGACTGAATCTAGTGCTAAGGAAGTTTATTAAGACCATAATTCTTTTTTTTTTTTTTTATTTGGTCTATTGGTGTAAGGACTCCCACTTTGACATTTTGTCTGTTCTGAATACTTAGGATGAAATTCTCAACCTTATGTTTTATTCTCTTGCTGCTGTTAAACAGATTTCCCTTATCCCTGTTTGAGCTACTATCTGGGACACTTTTTMATTACTCATGTCTGTTTTGGTACTAGGAATTGAACCCAGGGATGCTTTAGCACTGAGCTACATCTCCTGTTATTTTTGTTCATAACTTTGAGACAGGGTCTCACTAAGTTACAGAGGCTGGCCTAGAACTTAGATTCCCCTWTCTCAGCCTCCTGAGTTGCTAGGATGGTAGGTGTGGACCTATAATCATCACACCTGGCTTATTACTCATGTCTTAAATATTTCGTCTTTGATGCCTTAAAACACTTTGAATTTATGTGCCTTTTTTCATTTTGTTGTGATTTAGGCTATATTCCCCATCTGCTACATTGTAGAGAATTTGGGGAATATAGGAAAAATGTCAAGAGGAATAAAATATTTGCTTACAATTCCCTCATTGTTAACATTTTGTTGTGTGTCTTTTAAAGTTATTCCCAACCCCTAAATTGTGCACTTACTTTCACATAATTTACATAGTGTCTTAGAGAACAGACCTTATTTACTGTAATGGGGAGCTAAGTTTTCTACTTCGGTGTATTTTTACTGTTTTCTCTGCAGGTGAATTCCCTATCATCAGCCCAGGTCGGGTATATGAGTACACCAGCTGTACCACATTCTCTACGACATCAGGATATATGGAAGGATATTATACCTTCCATTTTCTTTACTTTAAAGACAAGATCTTTAATGTTGCCATTCCCCGATTCCATATGGCATGTCCGACATTCAGGGTGTCAATAGCCCGACTGGTAAGTTGATGTATATGACTTTGTAAAATTAACTCTACAGAGGATCTTTGGTTAGGCAGACAAGCAATTTGTAAGTAAGTTTCTACAGAACCCTGGACATTCTGAGGAAATATGGAAGTATCTTGGGCAGGTGAATATGTTAGGGGAGATGAACAGCAGATAAACTAAACTCACTACTCTTCATCCAGAGAAACTACTGTTAACCTGTTCTAAAGAGTCATCTTCTTTTCCACTATTTCCAGAAACAATTCTGTGGTCTAGATATGTTAGAATATGAGAAGTACCATGCTAGACCAGTTAGAATTGACTTTATTTTATTAAGACTGGGAAGTTAATTTTTTTTTGCTAAAATTCCCTGTGTAGTAAAATAAACAAATATTCTGTAGCAATTATGATAAAGAGGGTAAATGGGTAGATTTGTATTTTTAACAGTTTCTTTCTGGGACCATTTCTCAAGTCAACCACATATATTTTTAAAACCTCATGTTTAGGGTTACCTTATAACAGGCATAAAGTAACCAATTTTATGGACTATAAAATGATAAAAGGAAAATTATGAAGCTCATTATACAATAGGAATAAAATATGAATTGTATATGCAGAATGCAACTGAGTTGTAGGACTGAATGTTCAGATAATGCCCCCATCTCCTGGACTGGTCCTGATGGGTGGGTCTGAAATAAGTCTGGAAAGATGGATGTGATATTAACCTGACCCTGAGATGACAGTCTCAACTCCTATTCCGAAAGAAAAGGATGATGATGAGCCCTTAGGCCATGATACTTGTTTTATGGTGAAAAGAAACWATAGTCTGGATTTGGAAGTGAAATTTTAATTTTCTTCCAGATGGGGGAATGCTAGAAATTGTATTTCCAGTACTAGAAATTTGCCACTTCCTGTGACAGACTTCCATTTTTTCACTAGCCCAGTATCTGTCTGAGATTGGTCTATCTTATTCTTAAATGGTTGCTATTCATCTGTGAAGCTATATGGGACTGGAGTTTTCTTTGTGGGAAAAATTTAAAATATGAGTTTAATTTCTTTAATATTCATATTTTCTATTTCTTCTTGTTTCAGTTTTGGTAATTTGTGCCTTTCAAGGAATTTGTCCATTTCATCTAAATGTTGAATTTATTGGCGTAAAGTTATTCACAATATTCCCTTGATATCCTTTTAATGGCTACAAGAATTGTAGTCACATATGTCCTCTTTTGTTTTTAATATTGGTATTTTATATCTACTYTTTTGTTCATCACATGATTATCATTTTTGTTGATTAAAGGAACAACTTTTTGTTTCACTGATTTTTCTCTATTCATTTTTCTATTTCATTGATTTCTATAGTTATCTTTCTTTTTTTACTTTGGGTTTAATTTGTTMTTCTAGCTTTTTAAAGTAGAAGTTTATTGATTTTAAATTCTAAGCACTGTTTTAGCTATATTTCATAAATTTTGGTGTGTTTTTGTTAACATTAGTTCAAAATAGTCCCAAATTTCCCTTGTAACTTAATTTTGACCTRTGACTTTTTTACCAGTGTGTTGATTTCTAAAATTTGGGAACTTTTCAGTTGTCTTTTGGTTATTGTTTCCTAATTTCATTGTGGTTAGAAAACTTCCTCTGTATTTTCAATACTTGTAAATGTTTTATGGCCCAATCTTATGTGAAGAATTTACATATGTTGGTAAATGATCCTTGTGTATTTGGAAAGAATGTATATTCTGCCATTGAGGGGAATATTAATATATACAGGTCAAACTGGTTAACAGTGTTTTTCAGATATCTGTATATTTATTGCTTTGGGGGGAGGGGGACCTTTGTTCTGTCAACTACTGAAGAGATGATTGTTGAAATTTCCAACTAAGATTACAGTTTTTGTCTATTTCTCTTTTCCGTTCTGTCAGACTTGCCTCATGTATTTGGAAGCTTTATAATTGTGTACAAATGTGCTTAGGATTGTTGTGTCTTTTTAATGAAGTGATTCTTTTATTATTATGAAACTCCTTCTTCATCTCCATAACATACTTTGTCCTGAAGTTTAAAGAGCACTAAAGCTTGTTTGGCAGCTAAGCTACTGTTGGGTCATCTTGATCCTTTTGAGGATTGTTTTCTTCAGTATTCGTTGGGGCAAGTGTAAAGTGCTCTCTACTTAAGGACAGTCATTCTCCAACATTTCAGTTTCATGACCCTCTCAGACGCTTAAATTCAGTAAGGGCTCCAAAGAACTCTTGCTTACATGGGTAACATTGATAATTATCATATTAGAAGCTAAAACTGAGAAGTTTGACAACATTTACTTAGCAGTTCCTTTTAAAATTACAATAAATAAACCCATTACATGCTCAACCYTCTCAACTATGTATTTATTTACTTAGAGTTTCAGTTTCTTCTTAAGCACAAATAAATATATTAAATCTTGACCTGCCTTATGGAAAACGTTTCTTCTCAAGGATGAGAAATCAGTAAAGATAAATGAGAATTCTGGACATATTTCTAACTGACATAAAAAAGGCAATGGGGGTTGAATTGGTCAACCTTTTGTTTCTATATTAGTTTTCTTGCTATWTAAGTTCAATTGTTTTGCTCCTTTCTTTTGTCCTCTACCAGTCTGATTAATTAGAAGGCTTAACATTTCCTTTTTCGTTATACTCTGCCATTTTAAAAAATGCTGTTGGTCAGTCTTTGTCTTTCCTTGCAGGCAGGTTGTTCATTTATTGTGCTTGTCGGAGGGTGTTGTAGAAGCTCCTGCTTCTCACTTATTTCTGTCGCTGTGTTCCTCTTTCTATCTGCTGTTGATGCACGAGCACTTTCATCTGAGCATCTCCCTCTTTAGCCACATGGATCTCTTAAGTTTTTCTGTTTTCTTCATTATCGTAATTAATAATCATACTACCTGGAGCTCATGTTTTAGTATTTTCAAAGTCTTCCCCTTCTTGCCTTTGGGACCTACTGAATTTTAAAGTCGTCATTCCTTAGATTAAACAAACAAAAAAAAAAAACGGAAACAAATAATGGGATATCTTATACGTCACATCTGTGTATCTTTTYGGATTGTTATTGTTAGTATGAAAATAAAATTCTAAGTGACCCAAATCCTTTCTCCTACATTAATTCATTTTCTCATTCAACAAATATTTGAGTACTCTAGTCAACAATACAATCAAAATCCTTGCCTTGAAATTTACATTCCAATTAGAAGAAAAGCTGTAACAAACACTGTGTGCTTGTGTCAAGTAGTAATGAGTGTCCTATGGAGAACAGTCAAGGGATAAGGAGTGTCCTGTTGGGCTCTGATGTAAAGATGTGTCAGGAAAGGCCTTGGTGACATGTAAGCTGAGACATGAAAGGAGCAGAGGGTGCTGGGTGGATATGTGCAAGAAGAATATTCAGCCAAGGGGCAGCAGGTGCGGAGGTTCTGACGCAGTTGTGTGGCGGGTATGTGAACCAAGGAGGCCAGTACGGCTTGAGCTGGGTGAACGAGGAGGGGAGCAGTCGGGTGAGGTGAGGTCAGAGGGCGGGGGGTGCTGGATCATAGAGTGCCATAAGAGCCCTGATGGAAGGACTTTYGCTGACATCATGCCTGAAGTTTCCAGTTTTTCTCAGATTACCAACTAGAATTCTGTCTGATATAACAACATTTAAGAGTTGTTATATCAGACAGAGAAAATTTGCAGTCAGGAGTAAGTCAAGGCTTGCTTAGAGGCATTGCTTGAGCAAAACTGAAATTTCCAAGAGATGTTTAGATAGTGCACGTTCATCATCACTCCTGTCCTGTTCTAGAGCCTCCAACAAGTGACTGTTAGAGCAGAGGCTGCCCTTTCCCCACAGTGTGGATCCATCTTAGTGGTACACTTCTARTGAATTCGCAAGTGACACTGACTTCCGAAGCTAACTTTGAAAAGGGCAATACGCCTTCATCGTAGTTCTCGCTCTCCTGGAACACGTGCCTTTGCTGCCCTGAGCACAAGAAGTGTAGTTACCATGAAGCCGCCGTGCTGGAGAGACCATATAGAGACACCACATAGAGAGAAGGCGGTACTAGGAGCCCCAGCTGTTTCAGTCTGGAGACTTGGATTACCCCAACCCAGTACCAGACATGTGAGTGAAGAAACCCTTGAGGTGACACCAGTTCCAACCACCATCTGATTGTGACATCACAAGTGCTCAAGCGAGAACAACCCCATTGAGTACTTCCCAGATACCCAACCTGCAGAAACCAGGAGAGATAATATATGACTGTTGTTGTTTTAAGTCACTAAAAAAATAAAGAACTTTTTTAAAGTTAGAGGCTACCGATGTTTGAATTAAAATGATGTGTCTTTTTGGTAGGAGCTCAATAAAAATCTTTTGAGACCTCTTTCTGATAGTGCATTAAAGTTACCAATAGAGGTCATACCTGATATTTTCACATCCTCTTTTCTGTAAGTATATAGAGAAACCAAGAATTGTTATGTAGTACATTAGTAGGAGAAGTTCAGTAAAACTTTATCTTGGACTGTTAGTAGTCTACTTGCTATATTGTATGAATTATAACTACCGTGTGGGAGTAAGTATTGTCTTAGAGAAATATGTCTACCATCATAACAATATATATTTTAGAGTCTGCATCAGCATGTGCATTATGAAAACTACACTCTGTCTACATTATGAAAACTACAGTCTGTCAAAACCCATTTGGGCATGTATGGATTCTAGATAAATGAGAATTTGCATTAAATTACTATAAAAAACTAATGGACAATAATCTTATCAAAAGGTTGTTTTCTCTTTCAAGGAAATGGGTCCTGATGAATATGAAGAGATGGAAGAAGAAGAGGAGGAGGAGGAAGAAGAAGATGATGATGAGTCAGCCGACATGGACGAATCAGATGAAGACGAAGAGGAGGAGAGGAGGAGGAGAGTCTTTGACGTTCCCATTCGCAGGCGCCGCTGCTCCCGCCTTTTTTAGCCCGCCTTCTGCTGGCGGAAGCACTGGATGACTCTAGTCTGTTAAATAGAATTCTCAATAATGTAAAATAACTAAATTGTGCTTGGCATATAGCAGGAAACTAGCATGAAATATTGTTCCAGGCCCTGAGTCCTGGGCGACACTACATTAGGAATTGGATTGTTTTGGTTTGCTTTGTGGTTTTGAGGTAGAAGAGGAATTGGGAATTTTCTTTGCCAGGAGTCAGTAAAGGAACAGGCAGTTCCCATTTCTAGTTAAGGAACAGATAGTTCTCTGTTTTAAAATATTTTCTACTTACAAAAAATATAGAAATGGAGAGGGAATTGTTTTGAAATAAGGATTTAAAATGTAGCAGAAATACCTACTCAAGGATAGAGAGAAACTATGTGACTGAATGATTCTGTGAAAAGACTTCTTACAGTTGTGAAATATTTAGAAATGAAAAAAAATTTGTAATTAGACTAATTCATTTAGTGATTCCTAATATTTTGTACTCACGGGGAACTAATTGACTAAATAACTTGAATGCTAATGGTTTGTCCTTTCTTAGACAATCTGTCCTTGAATTTAAAGTCTTTGTCACTAAGACCTTGAATTTAAAGCTTTCATAATTACAACCTTGAATTTAAAGTCCTCAACATGATGACTTTGAATTTAAGTTAAAGTCCTCACTCTCTGTTTATCTTATTATTTACAAAGGTATCACTTGGAAATGTAGTGTGTGAAAGTATGTAGTGTGTTATTACCACAAGTTTCTTCACAATGTCTCATGTTGTCTAAATTTGTAAATACTGCTTCTGTTTAGTTTCTCATTTATACACTTGACCGTCTAACTTTGTGATAAGTGACATGAATTTTATGTTAGGATTAAGGATGTTTTCCTGAAACATGGATTTTTTTTGTAATTATATAATTGAGAGTTTGGAATGAAATCCTTAAGTGTCAAAAACTCATCTTTTAAAAACAAAGTTTGGTTGCAATCCTRTATTTTGTGTAATTGCCTATTTCCCATAAGTTAAAGTTAATAAGCCTTTACTCTTAAGATGGAAGGTGGCATTGACACTCATTGGCCTGCAGCCAGAGTATAGCAGAGTCATCTCCTAGCTTTGTGTCCTCTTGTGCTCCACCTTCCATTTTCTTCAGGAAGGGTTCTTTTGTAAAGAAAATAGTAGAAAGAGAGAGTAGTGTTCAGGCTAAGCAGCTGTAATCAGGGACCATGAAGAAAAACTTCCCCTTCTCTGTTGACTCATSACAAAACATAAAATACAGCCAGTCATTTGTCCTGCTTATTTTTCACATATATATCAYACAYTGCACAATGATGTTTCAGTCAACAACGGACCACATATACARTGGTCTGCAGCCTCATACATCTTGTGTTTACCACATCTCTTGAATACARCGTTCTCTCTCGTKCTTGATTTAATCTCATGTTGTTTTGTTCACCATGGCCTCTAAGCAAACAGAATCTACTAATATTGCCAACAACAGGCTATCTATGTCAAGTGACTGACCTGCAAATGAAGTTATTGAGGACTATGGAGGCGG